AGATTATCCGTTATGTTTTTATAATTTAATTATTAGCGTTATTATTTTATTGAAATCTATTTATTAGGCAGTTCGCTAGGATTATGATTCCAAAATGTGGATCACCCAAATATACATACCAGTAAGTACACAAATACAGGCACGACTTTGCCAGTTCCAAATTCGAATTGTTTGATCATCTGAAGCAAATAGTATCCATGGGGATTTATGATGAAACATGGCAGATCGTATGTAATCTAAATGACCCAGAAGTGTAAATAGACAACGACGTTGTGTATAATTCCATACTTTAATTTTGTAATCGTCATCTCCTGATACAAACATGGGCTGTTGACTGTGAAAGTTGATACCGCGAACTGGTCCGTCGTGTTCATCAAATTTATTCAGCAAAGTGCACATACGATAATCCCATTACTGAATGACACCAGTGTGAAGACTGGCCAAAATCCACAGTCTTTTGAGATGAAAAGCCAAGCCCTTGATTCGGGCTGACTTGGTTTTAAACTTTGTTAACATAATACTTGTAGTTCACCTAGATAAAACGCAAATAATAATTTAAGAATATTATCACACACACATATATAACTTACGTTTAAACGATTAAGAGTTATTTTAAAAATGTTTAGTATAAATTACTAGTTTAATTAAAAAACGAAATGTACTTACTTATTTTGGTATTTTAAAAACGAATATAAATTAATTACATTTGAGTAAAATCTTGCTATGTGAAATCCGCAGAATATGTATGCAACTATTTTACGTGGTAATTTTGTATTCAGTTATCAATATTTTATTTGCTGATAGTAGAAGTTTTATAACCGGTTAATATTTTAGTGATCGCTATGATTCGTAATTACCCAAAGACATGTAGACCCATATTATACTACTTTTTACTGTTTAGTATATATAGTTCTAGTAAATAGAAGTAGTATGCGGTATTACAACTTATAAGCTGCAGCTTGCAGTATAATAATTAAGGTATCATAATATTATAGTAAATAAGTACTGTAGGTAGTATAAGGTATATTGTGATAACAACGGTAAACTTATCAGGACCAAGATAAAACTTGTTGATAACGAAACATTTTATAATAAAACACATTCCGCTATCCGCAGTTTGTTTATAGTTACGTTTGAAAAATATACTGATGATAACTGTAGCCTTTTCCACTCTATGTTGCTCATGAGTCATGACTCATCGGCAAGGACCGAGTCAGCATTTTTCTGTACGTCATTCTGATTTTTGTTTCAGGTTTTGTAATTTCTCGATTTATGTAAACTTATTTCTTTCGAAATTCATTAAATAAGAACATGTATGCCAATAATTACATTGTTATTACAATAATTCAATTGTTTTAATATGAATATTCTTACACGCAATTTGAAAATCGGAAAAATAACAAATTTTGGGTCTTTGAATTTTTGATACATCGCAGCACCAATATGTTGACGCAACTCGCAAGTATTACCTACCTATATTTTACACTACGGTTGTATTTAAAATCAATATTGTCATAATTTATTTTCAATAAATGTGGCAATTATTATTACATCAGCTATAATTTCATTTTTATATTTTACTCGTACTTAGAAGTATTTAGATTTAGAAAGAACATTGTCAATTGAGTACTTAATACCCATAAATTACCAACAGTAGTAAATGTGTCTAGATGGCGTCATGGACGAAAACATGATCCATCAACCAAAAGGTTGCGGCACTTGCGGGTTCGATCGAGTGTGCGATCCAGCTTTTTTTTTTTTTTTAATATTTCAACGTTTAGAAACAGTTGAAGCCTCAAAAACCTTAATTTAACTTGACCTATCCGCTTCTAAATGCAAAAAACCCATTCTATGAGCAAAAAAAAAATGCGCCCGGTAAAGTAGATTTATACCAACTGTTATATATGAATGATTAACATCTTGATTCAGGCTTTCGTTTATAAGATAAATAGAATAAATCTCTAGACATTTTTTTTTATTATAACTTTTTTTCTCTAATAGCAAGGTAAGTACCGCACAATCGCTTTTTAACCGACTAACCTCTAGACATTCAATAACATATGTCCGTTGGTCAGAGTGAAAGTATAGGATTATTAGGTACATAGTACATACATTATAATATAAAAAAGTATACAAGGTTACAAAAGTACACAATATGCAATTGGTGACATTTTCAACATTATTCCTAAGCAAAACTTTTATAATACTACATGTTATGTATTGTAACTAAACGTGATAGTACTAACTACCATCGTACTTATGTCGGTAAAGTCTTATTGAAGTGTTTTTTTTTATTAAAAAAAAAATATGATGTTTTCAGCGTTTTAATGCTATTTTCAATAACAACTTTCAGAGGTAATACAATCAAACTTTAATTCTATAAAAATTAAATCTGAGAGATTTGTTCACCTATTCCAATTGCTCTTTCAATTGTTTCGTTTTTTCTAATTCGTATTCATATTGATAATTTAATAAATATCTTATGTGAATACTAAATTATAAAATACCTTTTACGTGTTATGAATGTTACATCGGAGATTTAATAAATGCAATGGTATTAATAATATGTTGCACATAAGATATTTTTATATGACATAAAAGTATGATAATGATAAATTGATGACCATTTGCGCGCAAACTATAGCGCATCTTAACACTGTCATGTTATTTATTTGTTCTGTTTAGTTATTCATTATTTCATAAGTAATTAATTTTACTGTTTGGTAAATGTGTTACATTTTCCTCATGTCCTTAAAAGTAATAAAAACTAAGTGTCATTAAAAAAATAAGTGTTAAAAAAAATAACTGTAATAAAGGCCAAAGAACAAGCCAAAGTACAAAAAAATATGTACTAAGATCAAAATAATTACTCATCTAATTGAGAATAGTCGTATTGGTAAACGTTATATTTAAAACTTAAAAGTAGGCGGGCAGTACTTGGACTCAGATACATTAAAAGATTTCCGTCCAGTACGCGCTTATTTATTTATCAATGCATTGGCAAAACGGCCTATACTTGGTTAAGTACGTTGCAAGACGTGAAACCAATTATGAAGCACACATGCCATTGCGTGGGCTATACTTAGGTGAGTATACTGAAAGGTAAGCCACCGGTAAGCACGCTATATAAATTTAACTTTTAGTTCAATTTTCTGTGATGGTAATAATTATAAGCAAAAATAAAATCACCGTCACTATCTTCTGTTAACTTTATTACACTTTTTTCTGCGTTATCGACGGAAATTTTCTTTATATTTGGTTCTAGTTAAAAAAAAAATAAAATTTGAATAAAAAATAATTATTATCACATTCAGTTTTTAATCGTATAAATCTAATAAAACGCATGCACACGGCCGATATCCCTGACGACCCTCCACGCAGACTAAAACGTAACTGGAGTAGAGACTTACTAACATAAAATAAACAACTTATAACCTAACCCAACTTACTATAGAGGTGTTACCAATGGGTAGCTTCCTTTTCAAGATATACATGCCCTGTTATAATTTAGATAAAAAAAAACTTATTGTACATACATATTTGTATAGATTGTTTTTTGTAAAATAAAAAAAAATAAAAATATAAAAAACGTATAAATAGGTAATTTTCATACCATAAATGTTGTCAGCCTTATACGTTTTTTAGAAAATCGGAAATAGTCTTCTGCTGACAAATACAAACTTGGTACTACAAAATCGTTTTTTAGACTACCTAGTTTGTCTATAAATTTGTCGATCTTTTTGTATAGATTTATTAATAAAATCAGCTGCATGAAAATGAATCGATCAAATTTGCAGTACGGTCAAAATCTGTTTACTGATCACATTAGGTACACCAACAACCGCTGAAGGTTTTATTTTCTACTGGAAAGTTTATTGTAAAACAGTTTGTCAAATTAATTCATTGCTTTTTGATTACACAAAGTAATAGCACATTTTTGAACTGGAATACAGTCAGTCTAACACATACATTGTCTAAGAAAACAATCTACCTTGGGTAATATTACTTTCAGAATCTTTAACTGCTTTTTTTAGGATTTCTATTTCAGCATGGAAATTATCCGCTATCTTATGTTTTTTCAGCGTACATTTTCTTAACAATTATTTTCAAATTAACAAAATAAATCCGAATAATAAGATGTAATTTAAAGTTAAAATATTTAAAATGTATTTCTCCTCTTAATGTTCCTAATTTTGTACAGAATATTAATTTGAGTTCAGCGGTCTTTAAAACTTATAAATTTATGTAAAATATTTAAAAAAATGAATGTATTAATTTATAAATTATTGCAAGGTAATTTTCATTCAGCCCACTGTGCAGCGGTTGAACGACCTCACACATGTCGTATATCTATAATATATTATATTATTATTATATATACCTCGAACGCGACAAAATTTAAATGCACGCACACCTGCATGCAAAAAATATTATTTAATTTATTCAATGTAACTAATAATACTTATTGGATGAAATGTTGTCTTTGCTAACTCTCTCTGGCTTAAAGGATATCTAATTGTTACATTTTAAGTAGATAGGTGGAACTCAAACATTTGTCTTAGTGGTAATTTATTGAAATCCAAATATGTATGTATATATTATCTTTGTTTCAGCAATTGTTTCTTAAAAACTAAACTAAACAAATCGACTATACAGCTATACGTAATTTCTAAAATAAAAAAAAAACAATGAAACAAATGTGAAATTATATAAATGTCAATACCTCTTGAAATAATTTGTTTATACAATGCAATTGAACACACTATTTTATTAGACTCCAAAAGCTTCCATTTGTTATTGTTTATAAAACCGTTAAGTAACATATAAACCTTATGTACGTTTTTGAATCTGTAAAAAAATTGTTTATATTTCATTTTGAAAATAGCACGACCTCATATATCCAATCTTGTCCTGACCAATTTCTTGATGTGGGTTTTATGGATTTGTTGAAACGGCAAAAATGACAGGAATAACAATAGGTAATTAGATTCAACGTCAATTTTAATGGTTACAATAATAGTAACAATAATAATAATAATTGTACGCATAATACAAATTGCAGAAAAAACGATATAGATTTTTGCAAAATAATTATAATGTAGTATAAACTCGAAATAGGTAATACAAGAACAACTACGGTTATAATAATAATAATTTATGTACACAAGGCTGAACACAACACATTAACTGTACAAAATAATATAATTTATCTATTGACCTACGAAACGATTTTTTTCACAACATATTTTATATTTGTGCCGTTTTATTAATAGAGTAGGTAGTACAATACAGGGATAGTGTTACTGATAGGTACGTAGGTAGGTAGGAAGGCAATAATAATAATAATATTAATGATGATAGTAATAATAATAATAATAGGATTGATACACATTTCACATTTCACATGACATAATAATAATTATACAGGAAACGTTCCTAAACACGATTAGGTGATAATAAATTGGTAATAATAATAATCAACCCGACCGTTCGGTCCCTCTTAAATAAACAATATGATTACAAAAAAAAAATCGTAAAAAAATTTACTTATACAGTGTTTTGCGCTTACCTATATTATATTATGTACAATGTGATCTAAAACGCGTTTACGAATAAAATAATTAGGTATCGTAAAATCACACCCGTCGGTCGAATCTCGCCTGTTAACCGTTTATTATTTATATATATATATAATATCCGTTTTACTTTAGTTAAATAATTAAACACAATATTATATTACATTTTTATTTGTACTTGTTTGATAATGTGTTTTCGTCGTTATCGTTAAATTTTAATCAATATTATTTTTTAGCAATAATATTGATAATAATAGTAATAATAATAATTGATAATCTGTTCTTTTAGTATCTGTGCGGTGTTTCTCCCAGCCATGAATCCGGACTCGGTGGGAAATCCGCGAAACCGTGAGTGCTACTGTTGTCACTCAGCTCTGACGGAGCGGAATGTGTCGGACCTGTTCAAAAGAACAATTATTGCTTAGTTATTCAACTTTGTAAATAAGTAAATCAATGATAAAGATAAAAAACAACTCATAAGCGCTATAAAAGTATTACGAAGAAGGGTTTTTTAAAAACGTGTGAGAAAAAGAGAAAAAAATAACAAAAAGTTTAGCGATCGCTTCGATTTTTTTTTTTTTTTTTTGGGTCAATCGTTTGGTCTTGGCGTGTTAAATCTATTCAGGATGAACAATAACAATAACAATAATAGTAATAATAATAGCTTATGTTTATACATATACTTATATAATATATATATATATACTGTATCGTGTGACGTGCAACAAAGACCGCGTGGGCGTTGGGAGGGGCTCAAGCGGAGTCGTTGCCGCCAAACGATTCGTTCTTAATGATTAACTTGCCTACGGTGATGTAACCGTTGTCGGCCGCAAACGTGGTAACGTGTTGCGAGGGCGACGACATGTACTGACGCGAAGACGGCGACGAGTTACCGGGCAAGAACTTGTGATGGTGACTGCCCGGCAACGGCGAACTGTGTTCTTGGTCGATTGTCAGTGTGCTAGTGCCGTAGCTGTCGTTGCTTTCCAAGTCTGCAAACGATAAAAATTGAATTGAATAAAAAAAAAAAAAGTACAACCCTATAGGAGTACGACGAATAACACCTGCCGTTGAAGTATGTGCATGGTAATGGTAAAGTTTGAAGTCCGAAGACAGAAAAAAAACAGAAGGTAAAATCGACGATGGACAGCGAAAACCTAAAGAAACCTTTCAAAGAAGAAAGTCTGCATACGAGTGAGAAATAGTGTGAAGGAAACGGGTGTAAAGCAACGGGAGACGTGGGCTCGAGACAGAGAGAGTGCAAAAGTTCTGTAGTCGCTACAGTCACTGTCATAGTGAAGTTTCTTAATGAGCTCTGCAACCGCGACGAAGAAGAGTGGATGGTTTTAGACAATGTTTGACGTCCTTGGTTGTGTAGTAAAATAATAATTTGGATGCGTATGCATAGTCGGTGGAAATGTATGTTCAAATTAATTTCCAAGAAAACCTGTGGCCTGGCATCTAAAATAAGTCCAACGCGTCACTGGCAGAGCTGTATAAATCTTAAAAGTTGAATAACCGTTTAGGAAAAAAAAAGAAATATCGAGGCAAACACAAGCGAGTTGATAAAAAAAACTAAGGTTACAAACCGCTGTACGAAAAATATACAGCCCAATGGGATTATATTCAACATCCTAAGAAAACAAATAAAAAATGATTAAATGGAAAACCGAAAACCAGAAATAAGAGTATACAACGCAGTTCATAAATATTTCATTCGATAGTGTTAAATATAAAACTTGTGAACTTTGTGTGTGGAAAAATCAAAAGAGATTTCGAGGATGAGGCGTCTTAGCTATCACATTATTTAAAACTTAGAGTAGTTTAGTGCATATGAAGTGAATTAGACATCAAAACAAGCATTTATTGAAAATAATGTATTCTTTAAACTGCGAGATTACCGTGTAAAAGTACTAAAAAACTAAAGATTGACGACATTAAATTATTTTTTTATAATATAATTTATTTGTAAGTTCATTTGTACATAGCATTTAACGAAGTATTTTGAGGGTGACTTAAACTTGACAGTTTTTTTTAAAATTCTGTAACCAGTCTTGAATAACTACTTTGAAAGCTATGAAATTTTAATGTTTTAAACAAGAGGAAGGGCGGTGTGTAGTATTATTTTTATATGCGTACATTGCTCGACCGTACTCCATCTTCCGTCTTAGATTCTAAAGTTGAATAACTTTAAAAATAATTATCTAAAGCAGGTTATAAACCAGTCAAATTTCTACTTATTTAAAAAAAATTATTAAATATATTCGTTGTACACATACTACTTATATACGTTCTCGTTTAAGTTTTAAAAGCTGATAGTGCCAAGGAAAATAGTAAAAAATAAATTCTAGGTAATTTTATATTGTAATTATATAAATACATTCAAAAAGAAAAACTACAAAATTGTAATTATTTTCTGAGAACAGTAGTGTCTTACGTTAAAAACAAATATATTCTAAAGTATATTTGAGAGATCTGTTTAGTGTCTATACAAGTAAATCGATTTATCTTTCCAACTGCTGCTTATGTACCTTCTCTTCTTCAAAACAAATAAAATATATATCCTAGTTTAAGATATCGATGAGACGTCATTAAACTGCGACAAAAAAATCGAAACGACAATTTTATTATTTTTTAATTCTTCGCTAGTTTTGTTTGCTTTTCTTTCTATTGCCTAACATAAAATTCTCAACCGGAGCACATAGATACAACGAACGACGGATGCTATACAATTGCACTGTTAGAACAGAGTATAAACGATCAGCGCGTGGAAAAACGCTACGCTTTTTTTTACGACCGTAGCAGAATCATTTCTTACTCAAAAATTATTATTTTTTTATTTATTTTGATGTTATCAGTAAAACAGTTCACGTTTATTTTACTTTACTTTTTTCACACGATTGGATTTGTTGCATACTCTTAAAATTTAATAGAACAAGTAAACTAAATTTGATTGGTGTCTGGCACCTGTGAAACTATTACATAAGACTATTTTACACGTCGTGTATTACAGGTGCAAATAATGTTGAACTTAAAGTATTTCCAAGTATCAGGTGGATGTCAAAAAATGTCATACATTATCAAGTTTACCTACTGGTACATCATTCTGAAATGGTTTTTGTCGTTATTTAAGCTGGTATAATATATTATCACTCTAATTTACAGGAAATAAGGTATTTATCGTACATAGGATGATACTCAAGGTCCATGAAAAATGAGTGGCCTGTTATTACATTGTCAGGTTAATTGTATGTTATTATATACAAACATTTAGCGACAATGTGCCGTTTAAACGTGAGTATTGTGAACACTGTAAAAACAGTACATTTTTTATTCTTAAATAAAAGTTATTGATATTCTTGGTGGAAATCCTTAAGTTCTATTAATATACATCATATTTGGATTATACAATAACAAACGTACCGTGTGAATGACTAAAGTTTGAGTCGAGATCAACCTTGAGATCGTCTTTGTCATTTCGAGGCGATATCGAACCCTTCATGGTTCTGAAATATTGGCTCCAACGAGATCTGCCAGCATCTTTTTTCAGCCTTTTTTCTTTTGCTCGTCTGAAAAACAGTCAATACTATTACTAAACACAATATAACACAAGTGTTAAAATTACGTTTCGTCTAACTAAATCCATACAAAAAATGTTTAGCGAATTCAAATTTTTTCCCTTAATACAGTTTTTAGGGTTTAACAAAACAAAATTATCGTAATTTGGTCATCGTGTCGACAAACCAATAGACATTTTGAACTGATTTCGCGGTAACCGAGATTTGCATTTATAAATTCTAAACCACCAATATATTCAACCTGTGCTGTTAGACAATACTCGTGTTACAGGTTAAAACGTTTGTTGGCGATACAATAATCGTACGGTTAAAGATGGTATAATATTAGATCTGTGAAGTGTTTCACGATTCGCATCGATAGAGATGTCATGTAGTATAATGTGTGCTTAACTAACCTGTTTTGGAACCACACTTGAACTACCCTCATGTCCAATCCGGTATCTTGGCTCAACTGTTCCCTGACGTGCCTGGCCGGTTTGGGACTGTTGTTGTACGCCATTTTGAGCGTTTCCAACTGCTTGGCCGTGATGGTCGTCCTCGGACGTTTGTTCGGTTGATCGCCGTCCAAGCATCCGCCCTCTTCGAACACAACATAACAGCTTTTATGATTTAATATGCGAACATGTTATCGCTCGAATCCAATAACAAACGCCTTGGGTTTGAAATCGATTCGGTTAGCGGTAAGGTACAAATAATTCTACCGACCTTTTGTCTTAGCCGCCTCGTAGTCGGGCTTGCACACCAGTTTCCTGTCCTCCATCAAATAGAACTCGTCGCCCGTGTTCAACGTTCGACCGCACATGACACAAGCGAAACATTGCAGGTGATAAACCAGGTCCTGAGCTCTACGGACGATCTGCGTGGGCGGAATTCCCAGATCGCAACCGGCGCACTTTGTCCCGTACCTCCTGGCAACAACATTAAAAACAGTCGCCAACTAAGTCAATGTGAATCGTAGAGCAACCTTCCGTATATTTTTTTTCTCAAGGCTTTATTGATAAAAAAAATTTCGACGTATTCCCCCTCACCTCTCCCTCCCATTGTCACGCGTTATCTATAGAAATAAATATATTTGTGAAATGAATATTATGGGTTTTGGCTGAGAGTTTATCGGAAATTGAAGGGTCCGGTGCAAGAACCGGCTATCTCCATATTTTGAAATTGTTCAGGACGGCCAAAAAAAAATCCATTGTCCCATTCACCGCTAATGGCGGGGGGAAAATTCTTTTTGTAATATCTTTGCAGGTAATAGTCCTATTTTACTGTTTGATGCACGAAAATGTAAATCATTTTTCATGAAAAAACAATTTTTGATAAAAAGTGGAGGTAGCTGGTTCTTGCACCGGTTCTTTCAAATGTACGTCACGTTACATTTAGAATAGGTACCATTTGATAACAAATTTTTCAAAAGAACTAAAACCTCAATAAAAAAGGAGTTTTCGCGAAACTTATGTTTACTATCTATCGATAAAAATATAAAGTATAATTTGTGTAACTTCCCTAATCAAGTTAAATTGAATCTCGCACATACTTTATAGTTTTTATTTTTTCCATAATTATTATTTACATTTAAATTTACGTTGAACTGGACTCGAATGGAAAGCATTACATTTTGTTATAAAAACGGGGTCGGGTAGCCAAATGCGCTTTGGTCCACACATCTTACATCTATGGCAATTTATTGACTTACTCTGCCATGTCTTTATTTGTATTTATCATATCCGTTTCAGGAATCGGAAATAACATAGACAGCCAATGTAAGTTCATCGCTGGCCCATCCTAAAGAGGAGGTTTATATTTCAGTTAAAGTATATTCTCGTCATATCTGAACTTTCATTCTTAACGTCAATCTACTGCTTCTTTGGACATATTTTATTCTACTTTTCTCTGTTTTAACACGCCTTCACTTTTTCATTTCATACTTTATTATTTTGTTAAGACTATTTGTAGTAAAAAATCTATTGCTTCTTCGTTCAACGTGTCTAAACAGTATACGTATAAGCCTATTCTCTCTCATTTTCTCCCAGATACAATTCTCAAACTACATATAATTTAAACTTGTTATTGTTTCATTCAATTCGGATAATGAACGGAATAAATTATTTCAAAGTGCCTTTGAATTGCCTTTTATGCGCGTTTTTGTGAAGCTCAGTTTTTAAATAAGGTATATAATTATCTACCAATGCACGTATCATGTAATTATCATGATCTATACTATGTTAAATTTACCTAAACTATATTTTATAGCTACATCAATAATGTATTTTCTAAAAGTAAAAAATATAAAAGAAAAATGGAACAGGCCACTTAATACATGTTGTATTGTTTTATATAATTTAGGCGAATAATAAATAATAATTAACTACTTGATAAACCGAAGCGTTTGTTTTTACATCATAATATTATTGTTCCGTCATGGTTAGTACTCACTTAAAAAAGTCGTCTTTGCAGAAGAGCATTCCGTTTCTGGCGAAACACTTGTCGGCCAGTGTTGCTCCGCACTCACTGCACTTAAGGCAACGCGCGTGCCAAGTCCGTTCTAGGACCTTTAGGATGAATCTGTCCAGAATTAATTCTTGACAGCCACCACACTTTGGTATACTAGCTGAAACACAATAACCCATAATGTTTATTATCATAGTATAACACAGTTATTTAAACAACATGTTTTTTTTTATTTGTACAATATTGAATATGCGCTGCGATGTTGGAAAACTATGTCGAGTAAAACCGTTTATAATTTTGAGTGTTTTTATTCAAGCCGTTAAAAAAAAAATAGCGGAGATAATAATATTATTATTAGCACTCGAAACGTACTGGTTTGAACTCTTGGTAGTTTGAACTAAGTATTTTAATGTAAATTTGTCTTATGACAATTTAAAGGAAATTCCACTTACGTTCATCATTTTAAAAATGTCGACACAAAAAAATCGTATTGTGGATTTGTACTCGTATGTTGAAATTAGTTTACATATAAACACAAGTTATACAGTAAAATATTATTTTATTTGATTCAATGCATTGGATCATTTTGACTGTATTTTTTTTTTTATTGTAACTCACACAAATCGTGTCTAATTAATAATAATCGTTTGAGGGTAGCTAGTTCGATTAAAGCAGCTGTACGTTACCCTATCGTTGGCGTACAAAATTACTACACACAAAGTAATAACTAATAAGCGAGCTCGGACTTATGTGTGCATGACGTACCTAATATCTTAACGGGAACGTTACTGAGGTCTTGTTGGAAAAAACGCAAAAACGAATTTGGCAACCAGTCGGCGGTGTCCGATTCTTCATTGCTGCTGTTGGCGTGCAAAGACGAATCTATCATTTTCGACCGTTGACGCAATAACAACACACATACTACGGGTCATCGGTACATGTTATGGTAAACCTGGACGGGTTGAAATGGAACAACGACGAGCGACAAAATATAACGGCTTCCGGACCACCAAACTGAATGGTTTTTTAAAAAGACTCACTGGAGTTGGCCGTTTGTTTGATCGTGACCGGTATTAAGGCAAGTCGTGTAAATGCTTTTCGACAGAATCTGCAAATTTCCCGCGGGCGAATGTTTTTTGGACAATTATTTTAAAAATAAAAAAAATCTACAACATCAACCGGGATGAAACGGGTCCGTCGCGGATACCGGGCGCTTCGACACTGAATCGGCGGACTCGGCGGCCGGTTTTCCCCTTTTTGCCGGCGAGGATGGAGGGCTTTTTCCCTTTGTTGTCGAGGGCGTTTTGGTTGTCGTCGGGGAAACGGGATGAACGAGGGTTGAGAAAAAAGGAGCCGAATGGAAGGACAGGACGGCGGCGGCGGGGATCGATACGCAGGCGAGTGTTGCCATTCGCGGCCACCGACCACACCCATCGCCGCCTTTTCATCCTTCTTCTTCTCCTCCTCCTCCTCTACCGCAACTGCCTATTCATCCGTTCTGTGTACGTCTGACAATAGTCGCCCTTGCTCCTTTCAGGCTTAGAAGCTATTGTACAACGGCATATTACATAGATAGGATGGAATATTCCATATATATATATATATATATATATATAATATATTTATGTTGTTAGGTATACGAGTATGTACGTATACATTATGTGATATATGCGTGCGCGGGACTTTGGATACCATGTCCGTCAGTCAGCGTGTGTGTGATGAACCGCGCGCCTATATGTTATTTTAAGACTGCCGAGGGGTGGCGCGGGGAGGTCGTGAGGCAAACATAAAGACGGAAACCCCAAGGAAAAAAAACCGAGGGGAAAAAATGATTTCCTAGTGCGTGGGGGTGGTTTTTATACTATATGTAGGGGTTAAGGGGAGAGCGGTAAGAGCGGTGGATCTATACGGGTGAAGTGAGGAGTAGAGGTATGTGTGTGTATTATTATGTATTGTAGGAAAAACTCGTCTTGCAAGGGTGGTGCCGGCTTTCATTATAAGGCTCCTGACGTACCTTGTATGTATGGCGCACAAAAAAAACTTATTTCCACAGCGAGCTGTATTAGGCGCTTAAGCTCAAACATTTCTACTAGGAAAACATCCTTGACGAAAGCTTATTCCGCATTACTCCAAGGACGTGTTACGTTGTCAGCGGTTACTGCATGAGACGTATAAATTCTAATTGCTCAAAGCTCTACTCCCTTTAAACATTTCCTAGAATAGTAAATTTAAGTTTTGGCCCTGCGTTTCAATACAACGTTTCCGTTTAACTTATTTTGTCTGTTCAGATCCTATTTCCCTCTTAAGTATTTATTATTAATACATTTTTAAATGTATATTACACAAGAAAACCTTACATTCATGGCTTTAATTTTACACGAAAAGGAATACTTCTTTTGCTCCTCTAAGATTTGGTCATAATCTCTTTCCTGCTTTCTCTTTCTCATTTCTTTTTATTTCTCACTATACTACACATTAGACCCATGAAGCACCTACTATACTTGATTTTCTTTATCTTCTTTTGCATCTTCCTAGTTTCTCTTTCAACAGAAGTAATCTCTTTAACTTACTCTCTACAATAGGTAATAAGCTGGTAAAATTAATGAAATATAGTCCCGACCGTGCAATAAAACAATTTTCACTTAAAATTCATCGTTTTCTAAAATTTAGTTTATTTGTTTAAACAAGTATATTTAGTCTATTCTGGCTCGGTTAGTGAACGATTGTATGTGTTGCACAATTCGCATAATTTAATAATTATTATAACTAATAAATTACAAAAAACTTATTATAACTTCGAAACGATTCTAGATGGAACAAAGGTGAACAATTTTTTTATATCTCAATTTGAATTCTATAAAATCAGTTTTTTTGCAATATAAAAAAAAAATACTCTTTAATATAGCCTAAAGAGCTGATGGTAGCCTTAACAGTTACGGATTACAAGTGATTTAATAGTACATAAATAATAACCAGAATTATTTATTTTTTCCCGAATGAGACCTATACATTTATTCACATTTGAATGACACTGTTTTTGTTGGCACTTGAATTAAAAAATGATGGATTATAAATTCGATAAATAAAACTGAAGAATGAATTAATTAATTTGTCAGAATTATCCAGTTTTTTTTTGTTCAAAAGTTAAAAAAGGTATTTTTTCAATAGACTGTAAAATTCGACTTTTTTCAGTTAGGTCGTTGTCTTTGGAAGCCACAAAATGGTTCGAAACTTCACAAGTTTTAATTATATGGTTGTCTCATAACGTTTGCATAAATTAAATAGGATTTGGAAACCTTAATTTAGTTGTATTAAGTTTTGACATTTTCATGTCTTAGCTCTGGCACATAACCGAAAAAAAGCGTTACCATAAAAGCGTAACGAAAAAAGCGTTACCAAAAGAGCGTTACCAAAAAAGAAACGGGGTTAAAGATGAGGTGGGTACGGGAAAGGGGTGGAATTAGCTATGGCAAATAACCGAAAAAAAGCGTAACGAAAAAAGCGTTACCACACGGAGATGGGTTGGATGTGGAAATAGGGGTAGAAGATAAGGGGTGGGGGTGGGATAGGGTTGGGGTTGGGGACAGGAGATAGGGGTGGGAGATAGGGGTGAGTGATAGGGGTAAGATATAGGAGATAAGAGATATATTGTACGTTCAACGTTCAAATTAGAACTAAATAATAAATTCAAAACAGTTTAAGAGCCCAATTTCTCTATGAATTGTTTTAAGCCAGATAATAAACACTACAATTTTAGCCAGAAACTTGACGTTTTATTATACTAGCTTGTTAACAAGACATGAAAATGATCTCTTGTGGTTGCAGACTCGGCTGAAAAACTTTTTCATAGGTCAATATCAAATAAATAATATTAAATAAAGTATACTGTATCTTTAATGTATTTTGAAATATTATTAGTTAGTAATTACTCTAATGTAATTTAATAGTCACCAGTCAATAACAGTATAATAATTTTTTTATAGGTCCAAGAAAATATGACATATATTCCCTTACTCACTGATCATTTCGTTTTTTACAAAGTGATAATTCAATAAATCTGTCCTCACGTAACGTAAACACCAAGAATACGTGTTAATGCATGGTGTTATGATGGTATATTGTTTTAGTTGCTAAATACTAATTTTGAAAAGCCAATTATTCGGCTTTGTGTAAGATCGAAGCAAAAAAAGTTATCTGAGTGAAGGCTATTAACTAAAAAAGCTAATACAGTGGGGTCAGGGCATAGTGGGGACGGAGAAGGTCATAGGCTTACTGAATTTTTGAAAGTATTAAAATAATTTTCAAATTAACGTTTTGAGGTGATTTTATGAAAAACAGAAGTATATAATAACCGATAAAAACATTGTAAAACCTATAATGTGATTAAAAGGAGTATTAATATTTGATTATTAGGGAAGGTACGACAGTATGATCGTCTGTCTGTGAAAGTGAACATTTTACCTAGTTACTTTGGTTTTTTTTTAATAGAAAAAAGTTAGCCAAATATGTTTAAGAAAATTGTTTATGTTTTAGTTCCTTTTTAGATCTACCTTTAGTTTAATATTCAGACCACAAGGCCTAAAACTACACCTTAAAAAGAAAAAGAAAGAAGAAATTTTAGTTCTCTACCTCTTCTGTGGAAAGGGTTTTTGATATTTATTGGGTATGGCATCGTATATTGGTAATACTATGTCTATAAAATAACGCATGCACATTTGGAACTAAGTAGACCATTTTTAGAAAAGTCAAAGCACACCGCAATTTTATGTTAAAAATAAGTTAAATTTTTTGGCGTATTTTTTTGAACTTGAAGAGGAAGCGGTGAACTTTTTTAAATGTTGACCCAATAAAGTCCCTTATAGGTACGAGATCTCGTCTATAGAATAGCACTGATGAATGAATATATTATGTAGATCATGGTAGATGTAATGTATGATCTAATGATATGTAGATTGTAGAATGATACATTTTTGCGAGTTTAAATTAGAGATTGTAATGGTTAAGCAGCTTCTTGGATCGGTACATAGATAAATATATTGTATCAAGACTATCCTATAGAAACCATACTGTCTATACTTTATCCTTTACCATTACGTACCGTATTTCAGACCGTCCCCGAGTCCTAACCAGTCCTCGGGTATCGTTCCTTATTCGAATGCAACTTATATAAGCGGTTTGCCGGTGGAAATTTAAATGAGTGGTAAGATCACACATACTATGACGCGTATACCAGAATAAAAAAAAAATAATAATAAAAGCATAAAGTGCTCGGTTGACGACAGGTGGGTCGGACAATGGTAATGATATGTGACTCCGCATCGGCGAAAATATCAGTGCAGTTAAAATAATATCCGCCATAAAGCTATAACGACTGTAAAAACGATGACCGGGGAGAGAGACATTTATTTTGTATAATAGAACAAAAAAACCTCCGCAATAGAAGTCATATGCCATCTTTGCCCGAGCAGTGTACTATTATACACACAAACACACACAGTGCATATTTCTACCGCACCGCGCGTTCATATAGCTTTTAGACGATTGTACTGTATTCGCATTATGCTCGTGGGTATGTACGGACAATAATAAAAATAAAAAGCCGTCTAACTGCTCCGGGTATGGTTTTTGGCGGGACAGCAATAATAATGGTAATAATAATAATAGTAATGTGACTTCGGGCCGACGACGGTTTACATTGAGCCGCAGTCGGCCATCTGTCGCCTACTCGCTCGCCCTTTTTGCCGGGTGCCCGTAATTCCTCTAATGCTCTATACCCGGCGACAATATTGTTGAAAACTATACCGCCTGGCCGCCGCGCCGGGTCCATTACACAGGCGCCTTTATCTGTCGTGCCCTTTAAGCGTTTCGAAAAGCCCGCACTATCTGTGTGCACCAGAATACAATACATTATGTGCGTTTACTGATTTCCCGCAACAACGATTGAAGTGTAAAAGTAGACGACACGGTCCAGCAGGATAAAAAAAAAGCCCAAGAACATTTTGTGCGCACTACTCGAGTCCAGCTTAGCGACTTTAAGTGAGACGTACGCCGTTTTTGAAACAGCGCACAGTAGGTAGTATATCATAGAATTAAAAAGAAGGATTATTTGTATTATATAAAAAAATGTTCAAGGAAAATATTTTTTTAGAATATCGTTTGGCTTTGTTGGCCTGGGAAAGGCCTAGTTCGATCTACT